TTAAATATTTTGTTCCATTTCCCCTTTCCCCTATTTACTCAATATATTTTTGGTACAAGACATGACAGTCTTTGGTCTCATCATTCACACCATCTAGGCTCCATAAAGAACTATTTCTTCTGCGCGTCAGTCAGTAAATTCATCCATTGACATAAACTAGTCCTTTAAATAACTTAGCGTTACACTTGCATATTTCCAACCATATCCATAATCACTTACTGTGTATGCTATTATATATAGTGTATTATCTTACTTTTTTTTTCATTGATTGTACTTTTTTGTATTTTTGTATTTCCTTCTGATATCTGTAACGCAAAAAATTTCCCCGTCGTGGGATCAATCTTATCTTATCTTATCTTATCTTATCTTATCTTATCTTATTCTATAGATGTGTCATCAAATCATAATGAGTTTTACTTTAATCTGTCAAACATTAACTCTTGGTTTTGGATAATTAGCATGTTGCTCTCAGTCACGCTACATAATAGTGTATTCTGACCAAACTCAAATTTCAGTTCACTTTTCCCATCTTTACTATCACAGCAAGAAACACCAGTTTGTGTCAAGCTTTGTCCTTAAGCCTACATTTCTGCTTTCAGTGAGCATCGTCTCGTTTCTTTTTTTAACACAATCAGGAGCGTGTCAGTGGAAAGTTTTGAGTCTTGGCTGCCTTTGCAGTTCATTAATAATGAGCATTAATCCAGGCAGTTTCAGACACATCCAAATACCACGGATTCATGAATGCCCAATGATTCAATTCAATATTTCCAACCCTCTATGCTGACGCACACTGCACACAGTTATAAACACACTTTTTATGAGACATTGTTAACTACTTTGTGATATGAAATACAATTTCACGTGAAACTGTACTGGCAGAAGCTAGAGTTCGTAATGGTAATCATTCATGGAGAATGATTTTCCAGTCATTTATGATGTCATCATGGATTTGAAATAACCTATCCCTTGTACCATGTTTTCCTAGGAAGTTGTTTAGTAGCGACAAAAGACACACCCAGATACAGAGTCTCCAAGGGAGGTTACTCTGTGGCAAGACAAATAATGTTTCTTATGTTGCAATGTCCCTTCCTCTGCACTTCTTGTTCTCACAACAACATCTGGAAATAAGTTAATTAGTAACACAAATAATCTTATATCAGCTAGACATAACTCAGATGAGTCAAAGATCTGATGCCAGATATTTGTTGTTTCCTTGAAAGAGATACCAAACAAATACTGGGGAAATATTACATAATACAATGACAGCCACTATCTTTTGAAATTGTTTTGTTCAAGTAGTAGGACATTTGATTCTCACTCTCACCAAAAGAAGCTGAAATAGCCTCATATATTCTATACAGGTTGATCCCGCCTGTGGGGTGAATTAGATGGAGTTACTGTTGAAGGGTACCTGATGAACTCGTCTTTACATTTTTTGTACAGGTACCAACATTTAGAGAGACATATTTTTTATCTGTAAGTAACAGCATGGTGTAGTCTGCCATAAGTAACAGACTAAAACATAAAAAAGAAAAGATCAGCGCTTCTGTTGGGTTAATAATAATGGATTGCATTTATATAGCGCTTTTCGAAACACTCAAAGCGCTTTACAATTCCGCTATTCATTCACTCTTGCATTCACACACTGGTGGAGGCAAGCTATAGTCGTAGCCACAGCTGCCCTGGGGCAAACTGACAGAAGCGAGGCTGCCATATCACGCCATCGGTAGGTGAAGTGTTTTGCCCAAGGACACAAAGACCAAGACAGACAGAGCAGAGGATCAAACCAGTAACCTTCCAGTTACAAGATGAGCTTCCCAACCCCCTGAACCACGGTCGCCCCACAAACCACGGTCGACCCACGACGGTTACTGGTTGGTTTAGTTTTTCCTTAGAAAACTCATAATTCCTTGTTTGATTTTAGAACATAGATGTTTAATTATGTAGATTTGAGAAACCACAGTCTGAACATCTTCTATATCTCTTGGCAACGAACATTCATTGGGTTCTTTAAACGAAAGCGTCGCTCCTTTACGACTTTATTTGTCCAGTTCCATCATCAAGTTTAGCTCGTCATTAATCATGTCTGACTCAGTATAAGATAGATTGTGTGCAGTCTTTCTTAAGTGGATGTCAGAATTATTTTCCCAACAATGCCCAAGAATTCCTCAACCACCCAGGTTAGGAGGGAACTGAGGAGGATTAATGGCAAGAAGGCAGCGGGTCCAGATGGCATCAGCTCGAGGGTCGTCAGGTCCTGCGCGGACCAACTGTGTGGGGTGATGGAGCACCTCTTCAACCTGAGCCTGAGGTTGGGAAGAGTCCCACAGCTCTGGAAAACCTCCTGTGTTGTACCAGTGCCAAAGACTTCACGCCCCAAGGACCTCAACAGCTACAGGCCGGTGGCTCTGACATCCCACCTGATGAAGACCCTGGAGCGGTTGGTCCTGGCTCAGCTTCGGCGCCTAATAAGCTCATCACTGGACCCACTTCAGTTTGCCTACCAGCCTGGCATTGGAGCGGATGATGCCGTCATTCACCTCCTACATCGTTCCCTCGCTCACCTGGAGACCGCTGGAAGCACTGTGAGAATCATGTTCTTTGATTTCTCCAGTGCCTTCAACACTATTCTTCCCTCGGTTCTAAAGGACAAGCTGGTGAACTCTGGAGTGGACCATCACCTCACTACCTGGATCCTGGACTACCTCACCGACCGACCACAGTATGTGAGGACTCAGGGCTGTGTGTCGGACAGGGTCGTCTGCAGTACGGGGGCCCCACAGGGAACGGTTCTGGCTCCGTTCCTCTTCACCATCTACACTGCAGACTTCTCCCACAATTCCACCCAGTGCTTCCTGCAGAAGTTCTCTGATGACTCTGCAATAGTCGGCCTCATCACTGATGGGGACGACAAGGAGTACAGAGGTCTGACCCAAGACTTTGTGGACTGGTGCCAGCTGAACTACCTCCAGATCAACGCCAGTAAAACCAAGGAACTGGTGGTAGACTTCCGCAGGCACAAGCATTCTCCACTGCAACCACTGAACATCCAAGGTATGGACATTGAGGCTGTGGACAGCTACAGGTACCTTGGTGTTCATCTGAACAATAGACTGGACTGGACTCATAACTCAGACGCCCTCTACAGGAAAGGGCAGAGCAGGCTGTACCTGCTGCGGAGACTCAGGTCGTTTGGAGTGGAGGGCCCACTCCTGAAGACCTTCTATGACTCTGTTGTGGCTTCTGCTATCTTTTATGGTGTGGTCTGCTGGGGCGGCAGCATCTCTGCTGGGGACAGGAAGAGACTGAACAGGGTGATCCGAAGGGCCAGCTCTGTTCTAGGATGCCCTCTGGACCCAGTGGAGGTGGTGAGTGACAGGAGAACGGCGGCTAAGCTGTCATCCCTGTTGGACAACATCTCCCACCCCATGCAGCAGACTGTGACAGCACTGAGCAGCTCCTTCAGTGGGAGACTGCGGCACCCACGGTGTGGGACGGAGAGATTTCGCAGGTCTTTCCTCCCCACTGCTGTCAGACTCCATAATAAAGACTTTAACTGATCAAGCACACACATCCATACATATGCAATAATACTAAGTGCAATAATCCTTTCTGTCATCGTTGTATTTTTACTCAGTTGTATATAGTATTTGTATTTGTATTCTATTTTTATCTTATTGTATATTTATTTTATTTTATTCTACTGTATATAGTATTTTATTCTATTCTGTACAGTTGTGTACTGTATTTATTCTTATTGTATTCTAATTTTTGCCTCATAACTTTTGCACTGTCCACTTCCTGCTGTGACAAAACAAATTTCCCACGTGTGGGACTAATAAAGGTTATCTTATCTTATCTTATACAATAGCAAACGGGATCCTGAATTAGACTTTTAAATGTTATGTAGAAGAAGTAGCTGCATAGAAGCTTTATCTTTCTTCCTTGTTTCACACTGGGGAGAGGGTATAGTGAAATCATAAACACAGAAATAGGCCAAAGTGCAATAAAACTAGATGTTCATGTTATAAACTTAATGCTGCTGGTGAAACAATTAAAAAAACACAGTGGCAGATAAGTTAATGAATAACGGTGTTTATTATGTGGCTTTAATTCAATTCAATAACATTTTTTATGTAGCATCAAATCACAACAGTTGCCTCATGGTGGTAAAGACTCCACAGTAAACTCCAAAAATCATACGTCCCCCTTCCCCCTTTGAGCAGGCATCTTGGCAACAATGGTAAGGAAGGAAAGACTTCCGTCTTTTATTTTGTCTATAAAGCTACTGTACTGTAAGTGATTCTCATTTCTTATGGCTCAGTATGTTCACCAGTCTCACTGAAACCACGAAAATGTTTATCTGTAACCCAGCTGCTTCATCGCTGTAGCACAGCCAGCTGAACTCACTCATCACAGGCAGAAAGATCCAGGTCAGTGCCACCGCACACTGTACAGACCACCAAGGGGACTTAAAGCTCAACGCTCTCCCAACGATAGTGATCTAAAACACACTGCTTGCTATTAAGAGACCTAAACTCTGCGCTCTCCTTTACATCTTTCTTGGTGTTGAAATTTGTGGGATGATGACACTCAACTTGCATGTTCGGGGGCTTTTCCACACCAAACCACAGTCACTGTTTTCAGTTTTAGTCTTTAGACAAGTGGATGAGCATTTTAGTCATTTATCAGTATTATTCATCGAAAACCAAAAACATTTCCTTCCACTTACCCAATTCAAGGTCAGTTCGAGGTGAGGGATATGACATGTTGAATCTATCCCAGCTCTAATCATGAAAGAGGTGGGGTACATCCTGTGTGGGGCTAACACAGATAACTGTTTCCACTCACAATCGCACCTATAAACTCACAAAGGCACAGTGAAACCATGCACACTCCCAGTAAGAACACACAGGCAAATATGATCCTATTTTAAGCTGTCAAATTTTAGTGAGCCTAAAATAGGTCTAGTGGATTAGAACACAGGGTACACATATCTGTGAGGCAACAATATAAACCACTGCCTTGCAGTGTCACATGTCAATCTAATCAAATCATGTTTTGTCTTTATAAACAAAGGAAACCTTTTATATTTTGGCAGATTTTAGTCTAACACTGATTGATATATGGAACATTTATACTGTCCTGAAGCAAGGTGCTTTATAAACAACATGCTTAATTCACCTATTCACAGCCAGTTATACAAGCACTATTTCTATGCAGAACTGCTTGCTATCTAACATTCACACACATTCATACCCTGATGGATGCATCACAGAGCTACTTCGGTTTATTATCTTGCCCAAGGATATTTGGCATGTAGACAGGAGCAGGCAGGGATCAAACCACCAACCGATTGGTAGATGATCTGCTCTGCCTCCTGAGCTGAAAAAAAAAAAGAATACTGTACTCATAAATATACTACTCGCTTCAAGTGCCATTACCTGAACCGAAGTCAGGGCTCTTACACACAAAAGGATACATTAAAATGCTTATGTATTCAGAATATTGTCACAATTACTTAGTGTCAGAAGATTAGACATCTGGAATCACGACAATGAAGCAGCTAAACAGCAACAGGTGGCTATAAGCTAACATTATGGCAGCTAATGTTAGGCTAGCGCTCAAATATGCTTCCTCTCTGATAAACAGCTTGATTAAATTCTCACATTAATTGAGAATTCATGTCCAAGTCCAACAATGCTGTGCCTTAACGTTAGCTAACACGGCACAGCAGAGCACAGCATGAGAAAACAGAATTCAGCTTACATTCTGCAATTTGCTGGCATTCATTAGCGATCGTGATCAGACCATTTATAGGGCCACAGTTCGTTAGTTTAGCTTGCTTTTTACATTACGTATGTGAAATGTGACACGTGTTTTGTCTGACGTTAACAGCCATTCACATAACTACATCTGAATGTGTGTGTGCGTACACATGCGCATGCTCAAGGATTTGGTAACAACAAAGGCTTCATAGAACATCTGTTCCTTTTAGAGATTAGTCTAAATTTTTATGTTGCAACGTTGGCTTGGCACGGAATAGCCGATTATAAGGGATCTCTGTTTGCAGCGCTAAATGTCTGCTGTTGTTTAGGAGGTTGGGGAAGAGTGAGGAACAGAACACAGTAGTACATCTTCAGTGCAAACGATTCCTTGTAAAGGGAATATAAGCCCTGTCTGCTTTTTGGAAAAAAAAAAAAAAACATCACACATTGTTCTCCACTTGATACTGTGAATACTTCATATTCCACGATGAGTGGACTAAACTTAATGTCAGCTATCTAAAACCTGTTGTTTGTTATGCTTAATGAATAGTGAAGTCTGCCAAGGAGAAGTGAAAGCTCCCTTGGAACGACGATAGGGGTTCACAACAAATTTTCAACTTGATCAGACTTTGTTTCAACTATTTATTCATTAGTTATAGTTGGACCGGACCTGGTGCTGTCTGACACTGTCCAAGTGTCAGGAAGATACAGTCTGGACAACACACGTTCAAATACACCCATGCACTGCAATTCCAAACAAGAAACAATGGTTGGCAGGTTGGCAGAAATACTAACAGCAAAAGATGATAAGTCTAAAGAAATATTTAATTTAAAATGAAGAAAGAAGTGTGGGGTTTTTTTTCCTAAAAAGGAATTACATTCCCTGTGTTATCACTCGAAGCCCAGTTCAAATGTCATACCACTGTCATCAGTTTGTAATGGGTGGGTATTTCCCTTTCTCATACACAACCCACACACAGACCTCATGATATGACCCATTCATGTTTTCTCACTGGTACTCTCTATTGTCGGAATTTGCAGTAGAATACACCACCTAGTGGAAAAGACAACCTCCTCTCATTACAAAGCTGAGACTACAAACACAAACGCCTTTAATGTTTACATTTAAATATCTTGCGCACTCACACTATAGTTCACAAGCTGTGACAGGAAAATTGAATTCCCATGCTGATCATTTTTATTGTTCTGCCACATATCCAGTGTTAAAAAAGCAATAACCGCATGCTGTGATAAAAGGAACACTAAAACGGAGGTCAGTCAGTAGCTAAGTTTCTCCCTTCCTGCGTCATATTCTTTAATTGCTGCTGCTGCTGATCACAGGAAATGCCACTAAAGTGTTTATGGCTCTTTCGCATCACTTCCAGTGGAATAGCAGTCCCAGCAGGGCTGTGCTGGGACATCAGCTTGTCTTCTTTTGAGCTGTCTGCTCCATCTAATCCACTGCTAGAGCCACTCATCTGGAAATTATGAGTCACCTCTTTTTTAACCAGGTCCTCCAGGTCTGAAGAAAGAACAAAGGAATGTTTTTAAAGATATTATCTCACCCAGAGAACTGATTCATGCAGATGACCCTTTTATTTCTTTTCTCTTTTTTTGCTAGTTGGATATAAAAGAAGATTTACAAGTAAAGTGTTGGGTAAAACAAACATGAAGGCTTCCACAAACTTGAGCACGCTCCTGTGCATTTTTAATAAATTCATTTGAAGTTTATGAAAACGCATCAATCTTTTAGAAGCTGTAGTCAAACACTAATCAATATATATTTATGAGGAGAACATTTTTTCTAAATAATAACCTAGAAAAGGTTATCGCTGTACCTTTGATAAATGACAGAATCACTTAAGAATTGTATTTTCTATTAATTTGGATTATCTTTATCTAATATTAAAATTTGTTTGATGACCTGAAACATTTAAGTATGAGAATCAGGATGAGGAGTTTACCACAGCACATCACTTTGATTTGTGATGTGTTAAATCAGTCTGTGATTCCCAGCTGATTTAAACAAATATCGTTTTAAACATGGCATGACTGATCTCAGCTCGTGTTCGTATCACTCTCTTCTCATTACTTACACTGGAGTACCGTCCTGTTGACAAGCGTATAGGCTTGGATGGGGTTCCTGCTCAGGTCAATGTAGTAGTAGAACTTCAGCTCCTTAGGGTACTGAGAGTGGGACAGGCTGTGAAGCAGAGGAATCATCCTATTGGACATGGGTCCCTCTGTCAGTACCTGGTGCATCATATAATTACACCAATCATCCTGAACAAAATTAGGAGTGATAAGCAGAGCTCGTAAGTGACTGTTCTCCACTGCCTGACAAAACTCGGTGCAAACTGCACCTCCTGGACAGGCGTCCCTCTGCCATAGAAAGCATCTGAGGCTGCGGGGCGAATCCTCAAGGAAGGAGACCAGGCGTGTGGCCTCTTCAATGTCACTTTGGGCGCTGCTGTGACAAACAAATAGGTCATACTTTCTTTTCCATCTCAACTCACAACTGAGAACAGTAGGCAGCTGCCGTGGTTTTGAGGGGGTCCCCCCGGGTGATGATGACAGCGACGACGAAGCGCACGATGGTAATGTAGATGAGGATGATGTTAATGCACCACTAACAGAAGACACTGAACCTTTTGTGGCTTCTTTATTGTGTTGCTTTGATAAAGATCCTCTCGATTTCAAGAGTTTCTGGAACCAACCTAAAGGAAACAAAAAGATTTTAAGGTCGATTTGTTTTTCTTTTTAAGTATAAAGATTTCCTGACATTCCACACAACTTATGAAAAATCGTGTGAATAACAGTAGATATTTTTGTCACACGTGCACAAACAAATCCTCAAAAGGATTCTGATCAGATTTACACTGAAAAAAGTGACCAGAACGTTTTACTTACCGTGCATGTTGCTGAGGTCGTCATGGTTGTTCAAATCGTATCCAAAGTACTTCTGACAAATAGATATAGATAGTGATAGATAAATAGATAGTGTTGAATTCCATCGGTGGGAGCTTCTAAAAATCCAATTTCTCCACTCTTTAAAAACATCGCAACCCGAGGCTGTAGCCGAAAAGCTAACTCACACAATAGCAGCAAAGAGAAAGTCACTGATATCACCATAAAATGAGGAAGTTAGAGACAGCTGGAAGGGATGTCTCAGAATGTGCAGTCGAATTTCAAATGCAAAAACTGTCAGACTTCACTGATCACCTTATTCATCGCTGTAAACTGACATTTGTCCAAAAAAAATATTTTGCTTTTTTTTAAACAATATGATAGAAAAAACTGATCTCATAAAGAACAAAATGAAGTGGGAAGCATGAAGACAAGGTGGGAAATGTTAATAGGCCTAACCATGTCCACAAATCTATTTCTGTAATCCATGTGTTACTATGGTTTGCATTTCCAGCTTCACCATGAAGGAAGTTAATAAAACCACTGTTATATATTTAAACAAGAGGAAGTTTGGGGTGACAGTAAGCCTCAACCCCCCCCCAACACACACACGTTATTTATGAAAAAAAAGTCCTGTACTATGTTAATTGTGGTGGGGGGGGGGGAACCCTCATTTGGGCTTTTCCCACATTTCAGCATTTTTGAAGTGTGGGAAAATTTCAGTATAATTGGTCTATTAAAATTTGAGTAGAAGGGTCCATATGAGTGCACCAGAGGTGGGCGGGTTTCGTGCATCTGCCCGCATAGCAACCACTGTAAAATGATACCATGTACTTTTTTGCCCCTCAGAGGCATGAGCTTTCACACTTTTTTCCCTTCTGCTATGCCACCTTTTGTTACACTTTAAGGATATTGGCATTTTTGGGTTGTCTCAAGTCCCAGAACATGAATTCTCTAATCATTTAAAGTAACTGAAAAAATATGGTAATAGCTAGCCAGTAAAAACTAAAAAGAAAAAAGATTTTAAAGATTTTAAAAAGCAAAGTAACTCATCATTACACATCTATACATGTTTCAGAGTTTCAGTCAGTAAAATAGTTACTTTGGTTTGGTTAATCTCCCCTGGAAATGGAGTTTGTAATCAGTTCTGTCTGTCTGTTAGCAGTCTAGCATCCATTATTTTCATTATTTTCATTTTTTTTTTCTTTGATGGTAGATACCAATAACAGTTCCACCTGATTTAATTTTTGTTGAAATCTGGTCAAGTTCACACCTAATGTGAAAATCAGCAAAAATTTTGTATTACTCACAATTTTTCCAAATCCAGAAAATTTCTCTCCACAGATAAAACTCTCTTTATTAGTTATGCACATCAGGAGATCCAGGAATCTGGAAACAGCGAAAACAGGTAAGGCCAAAAAAAAAAAAAAAGTAGTGTGATGGACTGAATCACAAGTGTTGGTATCTCACAAACACCCACACTGATAGATAGAAGAGATAAAGAATAAGGAGAAGAAAGACAGATAAAAAGGATGAGCCAGCACTATCTTGTCTATTTAGTATTTTTACTACACTGTGTTAAACTGGGAATTTATGGGTGAAGGTTTAATTTCTATCGCCATCAACAGCATATAATTTCCTAGGCCCTAGAACCTGTAGAGAAACAGTTTTCTTGTATATTTACAGTACAGTTTGTAGTACTACATGTATGCACATAGGAAACATACAGACCAATCACGTGCATTGTAACTCATCACACATGAAGCTACTCAGCCAATCATTTAGTTTCTTCAGTGCAACCCTGCGAACATGTGTGTGTGCAAACAGAGAAGTCTGAGAGGAGATGAAACGCAGAAGTCCAAAGACAAAAGTAAAAGCAACAGAGAGAGAAAAGCGGTCGGTAAAAGCTGTTCTTAATAATTCTTGATGTGACTGAGGATAAAGAAGATGAAGAAACTTCTCTTTCCCTTTTTAAATGAAACATTTTTTTATGACAAAAGCTCATTTATTTTAATTTTGAATGTAAAAGAACATTGTTCAATTTTATTATTATTCTATTATTATAGAATTCTCGAGTTCATGGGGAAATAATAAGCATAGTTCAAAGTATTATTTAACTGAATGTTTTTTCTTTTATTTGAGAGCCTGTTGTTTGACTACATACAGACACTGATACAACTATTAGGCTACCTCAATATATATTATATTGAATTATGTGTTACTTTGTAATAACCGAAAATATTATAAAACAATAATACTTCTGGACCTTAATTTGAGGACTTTTTCTTTAATTGGACTTAGATTAGCTTAGATTTTAATTGTCCTGTCTTCGGCCTATATTATTACTATCAAATAACACAATTATTTACCTGAAATTTCTCTTTAGGTAGTAGCTTATGCTGAGTACTCAGGGAACTGTAGGGGAATTTTTGCTGGTTAACTTAACCCAGCTGTTTCCTCTTGGTGGTTTCATATTTACTTCTTTTGTTTCTCTTTTTGTCGTATGTCTGTTAATATATATACACACATATATATATATATATATATATATATATAAGATATATATATATATATATATATATATATATATATATATATATATATATATATATATATATATATATATATATATATTATATATATATAATAATATATATATATATATATATAGATAAGAGAGAGAGAGAGAGAGAGAGAGAGAGAGAGAGAGAGAGAGAGAGAGAGAGAGAGAGGAGAGAGAGAGAGAGAGAACACGCAGATGTCACAGCTTGTCACTCTTTTTCACCCTATAGGCAGGATTATACTTTCCACAATAGACCAATTATACAGGGATCTCTGTCCAGAAGAGCGCAGTCCTAGGCAGCTAAGATACTGCGCAGGACCCTCAAGCACCCAGGCCTCTGATAGAGGACCTGAGCTTTAAGGGGGTGAGCAGGGAATTTGTACATATATATATATATATATATATATATATATATATATATATATATATATATATATATATATATATATTTATTATATTTTTTTTATGCTTTTTTTTACATTTTAATAAATGGCAGGTTGGTTCATCTGCCTCATTTCAGCTCTTACCTCCACTATCTCTGTATATGTCCAAACTACCTCAGCCTAGCTTTTTTTCACATTGTCTCCAAAGCTTCCAGCCTGAGCTGTTCCTCTGATGAACTCATTTCTAATCCTGTCCGCCCTGGTCACGCCCAATGAAAGTCTTAACATCAACTTTTTGTCAGTGCCCCCATCTCCAAACCATACATCATAGCAGGTCTCACTTCTAATTTACAAACCTTTACTTTCCTCGCTTGCTGAAATCCTCTTGCCACAAATCTCCACTGACACTTGTCTCCACCCATTCCACATTTCCTGTACTTTTCTTGACCTCTCTTATGCACTGTCTGTTGTTTTAGATGGTTGACCCCAGGAATTAGAACTCATCTGCCTTCAGTACCTCTATTCCTACAGCTTCACAGTTACACTCGCCTCATTCTCATTCGGACATGTAATCTGTCTTGCTTCTACTGGCTTTCATTCCTCTTTGCTCCAGAGAACCCCCCCCCCCCCCCCCCCCCCCCCCCCCGATACATAAGAGATGGGTGGATCGCTGGTATTAAACCAGTGCTGTCGTTGGTATGGGATTGACGCTGTTGTTTGTAACCTGTTTGTTGATGTTGTTTGTAACCTCTAAGTTTAGTATATAACCCACTTAATTGCTTTAGATAAATTATATTTTGGGAATGAAAAAATACATCTCAACGTGCCCTTTTTTTTTATTATTATTATTATTATTATTATTATTATTATTATTATTATTATTATGATAAAATCACATGAATGAATAAATCATGTATTCATTTATTCATTAATGTATTTATTTAGTTATTTTTATAGCCTATAACACATTTAAACAACAGAATTGACCTAAAGAGACAGGCCCAATACAAATTATTTTTACAGGTAACTGGTAAAAAATATTGGCATTGGTACTGGTAAAATACACAGGAAAACACTACCGGTTCATTGAAATGAACACTGCGCAAGCGCAAACCTCAGCAAAAAAAAAAAATGCCGGAAGTCAACATCACTTCCTGATCGTGCCTCTGACGTGTCTAAAACAGTTTTTTCACTGGTAGTGGGTTTCACTCCTGGGGCATTTATTATCAGTTTAAGTATTATCCGGTAAGAGTTCGTGTTCTGAATGGCAGGCAGGAGCCGTTAAAACGACACTGTATTTTATAAACCCAGGGCTCTCTTTTGCTTTTATCCACATATCTGTCTGTGTTTAAACCAGGTACGTGCTTAGAAGATGCTAGACTTCTTCACCATCTTCAGCAAAGGGGGGATAGTGTTGTGGTGTTTTCAGGGAGCCGGTGTCACTGAATCCTTCACGGGGCCGGTCAACGCTTTGATCCGCTCGGTGATCCTTCAGGTGAGCCTCACGGCTAGCTGCTTGTGGCTGTTGTCTTTTTATCCAGCTCTCTGTAACAAGGGGCCAGCTAATGCTAGCACTAGCGGGTAGCTAATGCTAGCACTAGCTTATGGCGTAGCGATCAACTAAATAAGCTTCTTCTGGACTGTGTGCCCCCCCGCATACCACTCATTCATATATAAGTTTAATATTTCCTGTGCTATAGTGACGTAATTTAGGTGGTTGAAAACACACACACAGCGATAGCTGCAGTAGCAAAAGCTCCCGTTTACATGCTGTTGATGTTCTTTTTTTTCAGGAGCGAAGTGGGAACAGTTCGTTTAGTCATGGGGGCTTGAGTCTTAAATACAAGCTCGACAACGAGTTTGAGTTGATTTTTGTGGTAAGTCGTTCATATAAGTATTGAATGAATAAAAAAAAATCAGGTGGGGATAGGTGTTTGTGTTTTATATGTGTTTATGATCATTGCCTTTTTCTCGTTTCACCTGTGCATCTCTAGGTGGGTTTTCAAAAGATCCTGACGCTGACATATGTGGACAAGTTTATAAATGACGTCCAGCTTCGCTTTAGGGATCGCTATAAGAATGAGCTGGAGCAGAAAGGAGCTTTAAAGCTGCTCAACAACAGCTTTGAGTTTGAGAATGACTTCAAAGTGCTTCTCAGGTAAAGAAACAAAATAATTTCCATAATAAGCACTTAGGTACCAAACAACACACAGGCCAATGTCTGTAGGTAGGCATGGAAATTGTGTATTGGTTTTATGTGCAAATAATGTTATTAGTAATATAAAGCCAATTCATTCATTGTCTTCCGGTAATCCAAATTCAGATTGTGGTGGCAGCAGGGTAAGCAGGGCATTCCAGATGTGATTCTTCCCAGCCACACTTTTCAGTTCTTGGGCGATTGCACAAGATATAAAT